GAGCCAGACTTTTTCCAAAGTTAATTAATTTAGATATTCTTCCTTAACACTCACCAGCTATGAACCTCACCGCCGTCACTGCCTTGAAGATATGTAAACACAAGGCTCTTCCCTCCTCACCCCCTCCTGTATCCATGCAGCTGTGGAGCTGAGCGTCCCAAGGACATTCCTAGATAAACAAGACCTTTATCGGACTTTGCCAGGGGCTCAGTAACCTGGTTTCGTGGCCCTGTGACATCACCGCCTTCACTCATGTCTCTGTTTTGCCCCTTTGTTTTGTCTGAAAGTTGCCATTTGCGCTAATGTGTCCTTTCCTCTTTTCCTTTGGTTTGTTATTTTGGTTGTATTTCCTTTTAACTCATGTAAAGAACTTTGTTGCTGAAAATCTGCGATATAAATAAAATTACCTTACCTACCAATTTTTAGATGAACATTCATTGCATTTTTCTTAGACGCCTGTAAAAATCATTTCTATTCTCATGGCTTTTTTGTTCTCTGGGAAATTATTTTTGATGATAAATACAGAAACAAGCATAAAAATCAAAACATCAACAACAATGATAGTAATATTAATAATAAAATAATATTCAGTGCAAAATAGCCTACAAATTCTTTGATGAGGGGCAGTGGATAAAGGGTGGGGGGGCGCTGGCCCGAAAAGGGTTGAGAAGCAGCAGAACGAGCAGAAGCCCAGAGTTTACGGAGAGAAAATCATTATTATTTTACATTATAATAAAAATATTGCTACGGGAGGCAGAGCATGAAATGCGGTAGTTTCATGGCCAAATCAGGTCTGATGTAAACGGACCCCTGGGGATAAATCAAGGCTCTGGTTCCTCTGAGGTTAAAGGTCAGCAGCTCTCAGTGCCTCCTTGGGGTCATGACCTCACCTCTATGCTGACTTGGATGGGCTGGCGGTCTCCGCTCTTGGTGTGTGGGACGCCCTCGGTGTCGTAGCGCCCGTGGTAAACCACCGACTCCTCGTCTCTGGACTGCTGCTCCAGAGGGAACACGATTCCTCCGATGTTCATGTTGCTGCAAGGAAGAGGAGGAAGAGGAAGGGCTCGTCACGTGACCTCAGGGGTCGGACTCACGGTCCGGCCTGGACTGGGGGCCCGGGGGGCCGTGGCCCCACCTGGAAATATGCCCCCCTCCTCCCATACAAAGACTGTCTTGACAATCAAGACAAAAACCTAATCAATAAATAAATTCAGAAATAATTACATACATATAACTCCTATTTTTCTTCCTTGTGTTCTTCCTCCCTTTCTTAGTTGTAACATCTTAAATAAGTTTTTTTTTAGTTTTCACACCCTAAGAAATTATTTATCATTTCTTTTTTTCTGAAGTTACACCAAGAAATAAAGAAGAAAAAATAAATTATACCTTTTTTCTTTACTTTTTGTGTCACTCAAAGAAAAAAAAAGATATTTATATATAATTTCTTTTTCTTTTGTGATGTTATACTGAAGAGATAGAAAGAAATAAAAAGGGAAATTATCTAGAATTTTCTTTTTTAGTTATAACGCCATCATAAAAAATAAAGAAGAAAAAAGAGAATTATTGAAATGGATGCTTTTGTGCCTGGCTGCGGCTCCTGGTGGATATTCTCTGGGGCCGCCCCTGCTGTGACGCAGCATTATGACGACAAACATTTCTCCTCATTTCATTAAACTGAGAATGTCTGTTGCTGTAAGGAGTCACGTGTCTCCAGGTGTGATCCACATGTAAGCCTGAATCACATACTGTCTAATTATTACCAATAATCGGAATATTGGCTGATTTCTCTGAAGGAGCTTCAACCAACTGCGAACCGCAAACATCCAACCTGATCCCGCATCATTTATTCAGCGGGTGTCGGATGCTGCGGCCTGCAGGAGGAAGAGGAGGAAGAGGAGGCTGCAGACCCAGCGGGTCTCTCCTCTCTTCTTCTCTTCTGATGACCTCTGACCTCCCACCCCCGCCGCGCAGCGCGCAGGAATCTTACGTGGCCTCCAGGGCTCCGGGCTTCACCGCCACCTCGACCCGGTACTTGGATCCCGTCAGCAGCTTGATGGTCCGGCTCTGGCCGAAGCGGGTTCCGTCCACCTTGAAGAAGACGGGTCCGTCGTTCGGCTGGATCCGGAGCGCGACCTGGATGGTGATGATCGGCGGGACGTCGTCCATGTTCCCGGGATGCGGCTCCGGCTGCTGGAGGAGAGGATGCTGAGAGGGACCAGCGGCTTCCGGTCGCACCTTTCACAATAAGAGCAGAGCCAGCTCTGGCTCAACGCTGATGAGCTTTTTAGTTTAAGGTTGTTTATTTTTTAGGATTCCGTCTTTTTTCATTTGATCATATTTGGAGCTTCATGTCGTTTTAGTTATTTAAGCCCATAAAGTGACATGTTGAATAATTTCAGGTTTTAAATGTTTGGATCAAGTTTTCATCATAACTCAGATTATTTCTCTTCTTGTGTTTTTTAATTTCCTTTAAACTTAATTTACGGTGATCGATTATCAGTGTTCTATATTTCATATTGTCTCCACAATGACGCAGTTGGTGGAGCTGTTGCCTTGCAGCAAGAAGGTCTGCATGTTCTCCCTGTGCATGGTGGGTTCTCTCTCTGGGTACTCCGGCTTCCTCAGGCTTCCTCAGGTTAACTGGTCTCTCTGTAAGTGTGTGTGCATGGCTGTCTGTCTCTGTGTTGCTGTGTGACAGACTGCTGACCTGTCCAGGTGACCCGCCTCTGGAGAGGCAGCAGCAGCTTCTAACCCACTAAGGACAAGGGTGTATAGAAAATGGATGGATAGATATAATTCATATCAAAATGTTCAGCCTCCTCTTTGACTTGTGGTCATTTCAACTATTATAAATTTTATTGAAATTCATCCAAATTCTGAAACGTTTTGCTCTCTGGCAGTTCAGCCTAAAAACCATCAAACTTTTAAACAAATCAGTCGTTCAGCTGTTATCAAATGACAGATTTTTGATACGTCTTCTGTTTTTAAATCATGATTGAAGTTTTATGCAGATTTTTTCAGGTTTTCAGTTTTACAGTGTAATCCAGAGGCTGAATGTTCACTCACGCTTTTTCAAACTTCACATTTTCACAAACAAAATTCTCCTGTTGAAACAGTTTATACATGAAAACGTCTGTCTGCTTCGAGGGAACATGAGCGTCGTTCTGTATGATTTATGTTTCATCATGAAGTGGGGAATCGCTCCGACAGGTGGAGGCGTGGGCCCAGCCAGGTTTTCAGTTTAACGAGTCCCGACTCTCAGCTCAGGATGTTTTATACCAGTTTCAGTTTTAAATGAGGAGTCTGTTAGAGGTGATGCGCTTCATGCTGAGGATCAGTTTCATCCCTCCAGAACCTTCTGGTCGGTTCATTCAGCAGAATTTAAACCATTTAGTTACAAGTTTACATTTAATTCATTTTACTATATGAAAGTGAGACCGCTACGATCAACAGCAGCATTAATAAATGTGTTTCATGCAGCTTTCTCTGTAGATAAATGATGATTGCTGCATGATGATTGGCTGTTACATTCAGGAACCAATCAGCAGGATCAGACATGATGCTGCCATGTCCAGACCGGCCGCCAGGGGGCGTCCCGAGGCGCCGGTGTTCTGACCATCTGTCATACCTCGTAAATCCAGCAAACCTTGTGGTAATGCGCTAATCGATGTTACGTTTCTTATAAATCAGCTTAATTAAATAAAATTTACCATAAACTTATGAGAAATAAAACGCACAAAATGAAACTTATACAGATATGACGGATTTAGAGTAAGCAGCATGTGACGTAACGTCGATGTGAGCTTTACCATAAGGTATGCTGGATTTACGGGTATGACAGATAGTCAGAACACTGTGACCCGGATCAGCTGGTTCTGCTTTCTGATGGCCCACTGACATCACTCACATCTCAGACAGGAAACAGGAAGTGGACCGTAAACAGAACTTCCAGATCACATATATTTACACCAAATTCATCCACCATGATCAGATTTCTTTAAAAAACATTAAATATATATACAGTATTTGTGTTGCATTAAAATGAACTCAGAGAAAAAAAACATGTTAGGGTCAAAATCAGGGAGAAGTGCTTCATCCTCCTCTTCATCATCTGTCGAGCTCCGCCTGCAGGATCTCCCCCCAGGTCTCTGCGTCCAGCGGCGCCATTTTGCTGCCCAGCAGCTCGTCCGCAGAGCGCACCCCGCTGTAGCGGCCGGCTAGCCAGGCCGCCTTCACCCGGCTGCGGCTGTAGTTCCTCAGAAGGGTCACCTGGTGGGGAAGGAAGCACGTCAGCTTCCTGTCTGCAGACTGGCCGCCGTTAAAACCATAGACATAATATAAGAGACATAATATATTATGTCTATGGTTAAAACAACCAGAGAGAAAAGGAAACAGGAAGAAGGAGGACAGGAAGCAGCAGAGCCTCGATCTGCAGCCACAATCAAACAGGTAGAGGCTCAGAGACGAAAACATGAGGCTCCATCAGGTTTAAACATCAAAATGGAGCTTTCTGTTCCACTGAAAACGTTTCCATCTGATGAAAAACATCCAGAAAGCAGCTGGAGGTCAAAACTTTACTGTAAATTTGACTTTTCCTTCATGTTTTACTAGTTACTCACTGCAGTGAGCTGTGCTAGCTAGAGCTAGCTGCACTAAGCCTAAAGCGCTGATCATAAACATTAGTTCCACTAACACTAAAGCGGTGCGCCAACATGGTATTTAGGGCTGCCACCCGTCCCGTAAAATACGGAACCGTCCCGTATTGAACCGATTTGTTCCGTATTTCTATAAATGTCCGATAGACTCGCCTATCACACACATATCAACACTAATTATAACAATAATGACCAAAATAAAACACAGGAAATATTAAAGTCAGCTAAATTGCCGTGGTGTGAGCTAAAGGGACCCTGAACGCTACGGACCGACGCTGTTGCCTAGAGACGGACACTACGCAGCCGCGGTGGGCTGCTATCAACTCGGGTCTTTTCAAAACGTCCTCCACCGTCCTTAGAACCAAAACCTCTCGTAAAGATGCAGACTTGAGAGGGAAGACTCAAATCCCAGGCTGAACATGTTAGTGAGGATGAATAAAGACAAATTTTAAAAAATGTGTCCATCTGGCTCAGTGTGATACCAGCAAAATGGATCAGGAGAGGAACTGCAGACCCGTTAGAGCCTAAAGAACCAGAAATCAGCATCTCTTCATCCCTCAATCATCTCCTGAGGCTGAAATGGTGCAGAACATTTTGCTATGATTAAGTTTCTTATTGTGCTTTTAGTCGACTGTTATGGTTTGATTATTTGCTTATTTAATGTATAATAATATCAGCCAAAATAATACTAATGGTCGTTTCAAAAACAAACCATACAAATAGATTAACAGTAAAGGCATAAAATTTCCCAAGTAAATTAGTGGTTTAGAGTTTATCCAGAAAAGTTTAATTGGGGGAAGTGCTAAATATTTTGCAAAAATGCTAAACGCAAAAGTAGCGCCACTACTAGCAAATTAGCAGATTAGCAGAAGTGACTATGGTCGGGGAAATTAGCAGCAACACTCAGTAATGACTTTGATTGGACTCAGTTCAAACCAGATATTTCATTACTGACCCCAAAACAATGAAAACAATTCAGATTAACTGATTAGTTTATGTGCAAATCCATCTATATTGTGACACTTTATTTAAGCTTTTTTAAACATGTGCAACTTCTGAATTTAGGTAATGCTTTCAAAAGATGTAAACGAATATCCACACACAAAGTGTAAAGAAAACAAAAAGCCAAACAAAGAGTAGACCTGGTGCAGAAGTGGCTCTGATCGGGTTCATCTCCAAACCCAACGACGCGTGTCGTCAGCAGGGCTCTGTGCCCAGGGCAGCAGCAAACTCACCTTCCAGGAGAGGCCATCGCTGCGGTCGCTGTCCACCTCCCGGCGACAGACGGCCCGGACCAGCATGCACTGCTGCCTCCACAGCTGCTCGCTGTCATCGATGATGGAGCGCCACAGTTTGCACGTCCTGGAGGCTCTGCACAGGCTTTCTGCATCCAGCTCTCTGAAGATCCTCACGCTCATCTCCATGGGAAGAGTCTCTGCGAAGTTCTGAGAGCCGCAAGCTTCCAGGGACGTCAGGCCGGCTTGTCGCTCACAGAGCAGAAACACTGGCGAGGGCCCCGCAGACTCATGCTGCATAATACTGCAACAGGGTGGACCACCGGAGACACACACCCAGTTACACACCTGGAGGGAGCTGCAGTCCTGGAGCAGAACCAGAACCAATGCTGAGGTCCGGAGAAGCGAGGAGAGAGAGGGATCTTCCTCCAAAGACAGGGAGCTTCCCTTGGAAGTAAAGATGGTTTATTTTCAGTAAAATAATCTGACATCTGACAGGAAACTACCTGAACATAACCCAGAAATTACAAAGAAGGAAACACAAATATTCATTTAAAGCTGTCAACAAATCTAAAAACAAGCAATTGTAAGTGTAACAAGTTTAGAAAATGTGCTTTTATTTTTTTATTATAATGTTTGAAATTTCACCAAATCCTGATTAACACTGAAGAATCCTATTTTTTCTTTGTTATATTTTAAGAATTGTATTATTTTATTTATTTTGGTAAACACTAGTACCTGTACTGTCACTTTAAGAGAGTGTCTTATGACATCAGGACTGTACTACCCTCAGTTGGCTAAGCTGCCTGAGAAAAGGTAGGAAAGTTTCTTTGCTTTTGGTTAAGCTTGCGATTTATGAAATATGTAAAATAATTGTAAGTACATGCAGCTGTGAATAGTTATTTGTTTTAATACATACAGTGGAGTATTATTTTTGACAAGTTCAGAACATTTTTCGTAAATGTTAGAGCAGATATTATTAGTTAGTCACAGGGTTTCTCCATGTGCTTATCTGCCATTTCTATTTGTGCAGGGCTCTGCCAGCAACCTGCATTAAAGATCAACCAGCAACTCCAGTGGTTTGAATCCCTTCTTCATCTGAACACAACGCAGAACACATCAAGGTTAACCGACTGTATAAGACTAGGTTACCAGTAAAGAAAACTAATAGTATACACTGGCTACATAAGGAACCTCAAAGGTATTTCAGACTGAACATCTACAGTTTCACTATGATCTTAAGATTTCTTTTAAAACCTAGTGTGCCCATGATAAACAAATAAGTCAATATAAATATAAATAAACAAGTCAATACAAACAGATAAACTTGAAAAGGATAAAACTGGGGGTTGGAGGTTACAGTGAGCCCAGGGCCCCTCCGGACTTCAGATCGGCCCTGCAGGGAGTTTAATCCCCCAGGAAGGATTGTCCCTGTCCTTTCTTTTCTCTTTGGACCAAAAAGTCCCTGCAGACTATTAGGACCAGATCGTTTTTGTCATCGGTCGGTTTGTGAAAACACAGAAGACTTTGTTGTCCATCATTGATAGAAAATTTTAAATTTTTCGGCCACATTTCCTCTATTCCCCGCAGAGCAGAAGCAGTTCCTCGGAAACTGTTCCAGGCTCTAAATCCCACATAAACTGCGACAATAATTATTAAACTTTCTATCAGAGTTCATAAAAACATGTCGACCATTTACTTTTTTTTTTTTTTTAAAGAAGTGACTATTTTACCTGCACTACAGGAAGGCTTCGCAGCAGAGCTCTTTAAATGTCCCAACGGCTGTTTACGATGAGATATGACGTCAACACGTCAGGAAGGTTTGGCGCATGCGTAAAAAGCACACCCGACCGTTATTTATTTTAAATTTCTTTTCTTTTTTAAAATAAATTATTAAAAGCGACTTTTACATAAGATTTAGATGCTTTATTAATCAAAAAATATATATTTTTGAAAATATTTTTTACTTTCATTTACCAATTTATATTTGGTAAATGTTTTTTTTTATTTTTTATTACTGTATTTTCAGTAATACAAGCAGCCCACCCATTAAAATTATAAACGCAGTAAAGTGAAAGCAGATATGCAGAATTAACCTGTATTATCCATTGTGATGTAAAATGCTTTGAAATGTTTATTATATGGGAATATTTTGTAGTTAACCAGAAAGATGTTAAAAGTCGATGTTTTCAGAGTAGTTTGGTTGTTCTCTCTACTGCGCATGCTCTCTTGGATCCCGGAAGTTTCGAATCTGAAAGTTGTCCCGTGGAGCTAAATTGTTTTCATTTTTTATTTTTCCAACTGTTTATTCTTATTCTTAGTTTCTTATTTAAACTCATTTCTTCCGATAAGTCCTCCAGAATCTGACTTTAAAACCTTCCGCTGTCTTCCGGCTGAGAGAGCAGGCAGCCGGGGACCGCCGCTCTCTGTCCCGCCAGGAGCAGAGCCTCATGTCCGGCTTCGGCTTGGTCCCGGTGGATGGCGGGGATCTGGTCCAGCTGCCGCCGGGTGAGACGGTGCTGGGCCGGGGTCCCTTCCTCGGGGTGAGTCCTTCTGGGGGTTTCAAATGATTTTATCATATTTCCGCACTTGTCAGTTTATCTGAAGAGGTTCAAAGGTCAGAATACTGAGAGGCAGCTTCGTATTGGACAACCAGACAAGGGGGACATCCTGTTTCTGGATACATTTGCTATGTTTTATATAACATGGTTCTGGTACAGTATGATGTATACTATACACTCGGAGACTGCTGTGTGTTTTCCAGTTACTGCTCTCACACGGTGGGACGTCGCCTCTGCTGGAGGAAATATTTTTAAAGTTTAAAGGGAGATCAAACTCGTTCTTTCTGCAGGTTTCTGTAGTCGGTCTGTTTCTGTCTGTATAGAGAAAACTTGAGATAGAAATCTTTGGAGCTCGCTTGAGATGGACTATTCCTGTTTCGGCACCAGATCAGTGACACCAGAGTTTCCCGACGCCACTGTCTGCTGGAGAACCTGGATGGACAGCTGCGACTCAAACCGGTGCGTTCAGGAACAGCTGAACTTCCTCACTTATTACTTATATCATCAGAGTTCAAATATTACTGTAAAAACTGAACTGATACAAGCATAAAAATTAGCAATTCCCATGGCCATTTTTCAAGATGGCTGCTGTTTTTGTCATCAGCTAGAAGGAGATGAAGATGAGAGACACAGTTGTCCTAATAGTTAGCGTTAGCGGTTTAGTGTTAGCTTCCCCTAATTTCTTATTTGTTTAGCTTCTGATAATTTTTTAGGGTTTGGTGATATTTGATTGTATTCCATTATCTGCTGAAGGGTTCCCCTTAAACTTCCTCATTTCTTCATGTTTTTCTCGAAAGCAGCAGAATTTCTCTCAGAAATTCAGAAAAGCATTTTTTTTCTAGTTTTATGTCAGTTTGATGTCGTTTAGCTCTACGCATCGTACTCAGCAGTGGGCGCTATGGCACAGAGAAACTCATACATCACTTCCTCCCAGCAGACCCACATCAACCCGTGTTTCCTCCTGTTGTCCCCGAACGATGACCCCCGACCCCTGGAGAGAGGCTCCTGGCACCGGCTTCACCTCGGAGATCAGTTCTCTCTGCTGCCAGGTCGCTTCATCTACAGGGTGGCAGCCGCCGGTGCAGAGCGGAGCGCGCCCAGGTACCCGCCTCCCAGGCGTTGTCATGGCGATGACGGGCGTCTCTCATTACCAGGATGAGGTTAATTACGGAGCGGTGCTTTGTTCTCATGTCCCGCTGAAGCACTAACTGCGTCTCCGTCTCTCTGCAGAAACAGTCAGAACTTTGAAGACGAAGAAGGAGCTCTTCCTCTTCCTGCTGGGTCCGATGCGGCGGCTCCTCCGGTGGTCAGACTGGGTCAGGAACAGACTTCCTGTGCAGACAGGAACCGGCACAGCAGTGATTTCAGGCAGGTCTGTGTCCTCAGAGGAGACAGACCTCCATGGTCTGCAGGCGGCCATGTTCAGAATGAGGTTCCAGACACTCAGAAACGTCCAGATTAATTTCACATATTTACAAAAATACATTCAAAATCATAAATCTGCAAGTAAAAAATTATATACTCAGTGATTAAAGGCCTAACTTTCTGCCTGGCGTTGAGTCAGACAAGAAGCAGCCAGAAGTCTGATCAGGATCCAGGTGGGAATGGCGGCTCCTGCTTCCACTTCCTCTCCAGATCCGTCTGCTGCATTCCCTCCTCCATCCAAACACAAATCTGAATTTATAATCTCTGAAAACTTCTCACTTATTTCTGACACTTTTGGACTTTAAAAATTAGAATTTCTTAGTTTAAGTTTAATAAAATTCTGCTTTTAATCATGGAAAATTAGCATTTTATCTTGAAAAATCACAGTATTTTTCAATAATATGTGGAATTAATGAGACATTTCTGTGTTTGGTTGATCTCTGTGTGGAACTCAACAGGAAGTTGCTTTTCTCTGACAGGAAGTCTTGACTCGACGTCTGGACGGCGTTCAGAGCGACGAGGCTCCGCCCCCTCCCAGGAGGCGGGTCTTACCTGCCTGGATGATGGCGGCTGTTGCGGCTCCAGCCTCCAAAGGTAACGCGGCAACTATCGTCATGGCAACGTCTTTTGGAGTTACAGCCAGGGCCTGATCGAATGATCAGGTTTCCTCCAAATATTGATTTACATTTAAGGTAATTTATATAGCACATTTTCAGCAACAAGGCAATACAAAGCGATTTACAGGAATGGAAAGGAAATACAAACAAAATAACAAACCAAAGGAAAGAACCAAAGAAGAAAAAGCTAATAATGTTGATCCAAAGTAAATAAACTAGATGCTCCTGTTCAGGGTTGGTAGATGAGCATCAGTAAGTATCCTCTGGACTATTTCCTTTTCCGGGTTGGAAGAATAGGAGTCTAAAAAGTAGTTGCTGAGGTAGTTTTTATGGATTCCACGTTCTAATCCCTGTTCTGGGATGCTAGATAAGTGTAAGTAAGTAAGTATCATCTGGACTTTCTAAGTGTGGTCTAAATTAGTAAAAATACTGAGCAATATGTTTACATATCTTCAAGAAGATTAGAAATATGCAGCCCTTCCAAGGCCACACGGGGAAAGCCAATTCAGAAGCAGAATGTCTTAGGTCGGGAAGACCATAAATTTCAATCTTCCCTAATGTCTCTCCGAAAGTCTGTAGTTTGGTCATGAGCCGAAACTAGCGACTTCTCCAAGATCAATTCCAACTCGTTAGTGAGTTTTAGAGTCCTCAGCTGAGCTGCGAGTCTCGGCAAGAATCGCATCCAACTTGTGTCTCTGTTCACTAGTTCGGCCAAGTCCATCACAAATTTGCCGATGAGCCAAGAATCCAAATAAATCCAGGCTGTATCCCTCTGGGTACGACCCTGCAGGACAGGAGGGCTCTCCTCTGCCCAGTTAGCTTGTCTGGGCAGAGGAGAGCCCAGACAAAGTCTCTCAATGAAATTTGATCAATTGCATCGAGAGACCGGTTGGCCAGATCCATAATTTCTAGATTTGGATGATGTGCAAAGAAAGGCTCAAAAAATGTAGAAAAAGAGAAAAAGGCAGGACAAAAACAGAGCAAGCAGGGCAGGAATGGGCTTCACAGAGAGCAAGAGAGAGAGAGCACTCATTCTCTACAGTAAAGTTTCACATTTAGTTGATCAGACTATCACTTAATGAGAATATAAATTATTCATAATTAAAATATTAAACATATTAGCTGCTTGTTTTCACATATTTAGTGGTTTTCTGCAGGCCAGACACTCACTGGCTGTTTGTTCATCCAGGCGTGAAGAGAAGTAAACCTGCTGCCACTCAGGCCCCGCCCACTCTATCCTCCCCACCTGAGGGGGCGGAGCTGTGCGAGGAAGAGGCAGAGAGGCCGAGGAAGAAGAGTCGGGCGATGAGCAGCGAGGAAGAAATCCTCCCAACACAAACAGTCAGTATAGCTGCTGATGAAAACTTCAGAAAATATCTGAAAATTTCCACAATACTAAGGAATTCTATTTGTTGTAAAAGTTGTTTGATGATCTAAAAACATTTAAATGTTAAAAGGAAAACGATTTTCCAGAAAATGAGCGAAACAATGATCCTGAAACCATGAAGCTTCAGGTCCGAATGGAGGAGAAAACGGCTCCGACTTTTCCAGACCGACTTCACACATCTGAGAAACTCCACAATATTCTCTGAACCCAAGTCGTACATTTGCAATAAAAAAAATTATTATATTCTGAAATTAAAGGATTACAATCTAATTCTGAAAACATTATAATGCCAGAAATTTCTAACAATAATTTCCAGAAGGACTGAAGTGGTAAATTAAGTTCAGTTCTGCTAAAAATGTGATATATTTCTGGATCAGCCCAACAGCCGGTCCTTCAGAAGCAGGCTGCGCGCGCACAGACTTGGCAGAGCCGGTTCAGGTTCGCTCCACGGATGAAGCCATCGCTTCAAACAGCCAGATAACGTCTGTAACACTTCCTGTTTCTAGACCAATCAGAATGAGAGAATGTATTGGGGCAGCCAATCAGAGGTGAATGTTTTCAAAATGGCCGGTTGGAGAAGACGCAGGTCGGCCAAAATGTCCCGACTTTTCTGTTGGACATTAAAATCAGTCGGTGAGTCAGAATGATTTTCACAAACTGGTTTCTTCTGGTTTCTTCAGCTTCTGTAATATTGGGATTATTGAGATTATGAGATTAATTATCACCAAAAAGGAGCCAGAGAGGGACGAGTGTCTGGGACATGAGGGACACGGCTGTCTTTCCCTCTGAGACTGAAGTGGCCATGCTCTGATTTCAGGATGACCTCTGGGATGAGTCGACCTCCAGAGGTCAGATTGGACCCAGCAGGTCAGAGGTCAGCTCTGCACCATCACAGAGCGCAGCAGCTGAGAAATCGCAGCAGGAGGAGAAGAAGACCCGGCCTGGAGTCAGAACCGCTTGTCCCTACGGGAAGGACTGCTACAGGTAGCGCCCCCTGCTGGGAGGCGGGGAATCAGCTGGAGACCAGCCGGCTCTCAAAACTGCCGTTTGCTTCTGCAGGAAGAACCCGCTTCACTTCCAGGAGAGCAGTCACCCTGGAGACGCCGACTACGAGGAGGAGGACGACGAGCGACCGGAGTGTCCGTACGGCGCCGCCTGCTACAGGTCAGACGGGTCCAGATCAAAGTCTGACCGAGCCAGAGAAAGCTAAGCCCCGCCCACAGGCGCAATGAGGAAGACTCCCCAAAGTGGGCGGAGCCAGGAGACACTGAGGGGCGTGGCCACATGTAGTGTGGGGTGGGGGAGTTCGTTGGGGCATTTGGTAAAAACACCTGACTGAGATTTTCATCAACGATCAGAACCGATTCTGTCGTTTGTCCCACAACTCCATCTACACCACCGCTACGGACGCGATAAACTACGGACCCGATAAACTACGGACCCGATAAACTACGGACGCGATAAACTACGGACGCGATAAACTACGGACCCGATAAACTACGGACCCGATAAACTACGGACCCGATAAACTACGGACCCGATTAACTCCGGACCCGATAAACTACGGACGCGATAAACTACGGACCCGATAAACTACGGACCCGATTAACTACGGACCCGATTAACTACGGACCCGATAAACTACGGACCCGATAAACTACGGACGCGATAAACTACGGACGCGATAAACTACGGACCCGATAAACTACGGACGCGATAAACT